TATCCTTTATTACTTTTAAACATATCCTTATTACTTATTTAATATTAACAAAAAAATTATTAATTATTATATAATCAAATAATTATATTAATTGAAATCCACTATCTTATACCACTTGCTATTTACTAACTATTATTTTCTATCGGTCATTGCTATCTACTATCAGATAAATATTTTTTTATATTTTTACTTTTAATTTTTAAACTTATTTAAATAACAATTAAAATTTAATAGACAACAAAAATAGTTTGTAACGAATAATTATTTAAATAATAATAATTTCATAATCAATTCCATCAAACGGAGCCTCCTCAAAGCCATAAAAATAACCAGTAACGTCAAGAGTTCCTGACTTCTCCCTCGAAACGTTAGATAGCTTCCGGCCAATTAAATTAGTCTCTCGCGATTCTTTCGAACAATCAACAGAATAACCCTTCGCCATAATTTTCTTGGCTTAAGAAGTGTCTTTTTTCTTTTATGTAAAGCTCTAAGGAGTCATAAATGTTCTCCATCTTGAATTCTCCTGATTTTTCTTACAAACCAGATGAGTGGAAGTACTGAAGTGAGAACTGATAAAGGAGAAGATCATAAAGGCCAGAAGTCTCTTAAACAGAGACTTCCACAAGTAAGTACTATTTTCACCTTCCTTGTTCTTGCGGGTCTAATACCATTAGAATCGGCTATTATTACTGTGGAATTAATGCTTCAGTTGCATTTAGAAGAGATATTCATTTAATCTTGATCCTAATTTAATTCCTTGTGCGATTATTCTGTTAAAAGAAATCTTATTCTGACCTAAATTTCACTACGTTTATATATTTTCTGTTTCTGGAAGATGGAATTGCCTTGTATATCTAGCTCGATGGTAGAGTTAGACTCGTTCGATTTTCTCTGTTTTGCAGGCGAAATCCGGTTGCTTTGATAGATCTTTGGATTGGTCACATATGGATAATAATGTTTGGAAGGATGATGAATTGGGGACGTATAACTTGCCCCCAGTTAATGAAATCAATCCAAGTCAAGATTTTAATTTGCAGCAAGAAAATACAGATCTAGGGCCTCTTCAAGATCTTAATCCGCAGCAAGAAACAACAGAACCAGAATTGTTGCCTCCTCACGTTGAAACCAACCATGGACACCAGTTAAATCAAGCAGCAGAGCCATCTCCCGAGCCGAGCAGAGGAGGTCGTAGAGCCAAACTAAGCGAGTTACAGAGGAAGCTAAACAAAAAGATGAGTGATCAAAAACATCGTCAGAAACTGAAGGTAAAAGAATTAAACACTTGTTTATTTTTCGTCTCTTTTGGTGAAGTATACACTGATTTTTATTTTTACTTACTATTGTGCAAAATAAACGATAAGATGTCGAACTTGATAAAAGAAAAAGAGAATATAGAGAAGGAAGCAAGGGAAATGAAGTCAGAGAAGGAACAAATAAAGTTAGAGTATGAACTCCAGAAAAAATATATCCAACACTTGGAAGAGTTAACCAAAGCTCTAAAATCCCAGAAAGATGCATGGATGACAGATGTGGAGGTACAAAGTGATGAAATGATCAAAGGTAATGTCAAATGTTTAGACCTTTGCATTATCAATTAGACTTTCTGAAATAGTTGTTGCATGCTTTGGATTTTGCATGTAATTTAAGTGGTGTTTGTTTTTATGTATGAGATACATCTAGTCAATTTTAGTTGTTTTTGTTGTGTTTTTACATGCAACTTTAGTATTAACAACTAAGGGAGTGTTTTTATGCAGTATGTGAATGACAATTTAATTTTTTTTTTTCTATATATGTTTTTATCCTTTAGACAATCATGAAGAAAAGTAACAAAGGAAAGAGTTTTTAGAATATTGTATTGTCTTTGAATTGGGATGATTCTATACAAACGTACATCAATATTATATATATGCATATATGTGTGTATATATATATATATATATAGAGAGAGAGAGAGAGAGAGAGAGGAATCTGTCTAGATCCTAAATGATGCCATAAATCATGGACAGGAGCGTTGCTTATGACTGTTGCTTGATTTCTCCTTAAACTGAGCTTTATGTTGATAGCTGCAGATTCCTTTTTCTTGCTGATATCTTCTGTGTCCTTACTTAGTTCACAGGTACACTTTGGTGTTTGTTTTGATTCATTCTTCATAAATCAATCTGGTTTGTTGAGATACTTTTTTCCTTCGGCCTAAAACAAAACTGGAATTTAATGTCTGAATGGCAACATTAATATATCAATGCCCCTAATTTGATTAGAAATGTAATTTCATTTATCAAAATAAATGTCTGATACTCGGCTCATTGCCATTCCTAGTGCAGGAATTCTTAGAATGCCAACCATGCAATGCAACTGTGCCTGCAGCTGCAGCTGAATTTTATAGGAAACTAGATGAAAACGAAGGTATCAGTCTTGATTTCAAGGACTTCACAGACTTGCATGAGAAGCAGGGGTACAGAGCAGTTGGGAGGTACCAAATCCCATTGTCTTTAGTACCTACTGCTGAAAAAATCACTGAGGTTTATGGTGATGTTTGTGCAACAAGCACAATTAGCCGAAACTTTGCTGAAAATATCTATACTCTGTTCTGTGCAACGATCAAAGAAATGGATGTACTACCGCTAGAGGAAGTCACAGAGGCAACCATGTTGAAGTGGAGAACTGCAATAAAGGATGCTTTATGTATCAAGTTTAAAGTGGAATTTGCCATGGAGCATCTGAAGAAAACTATAGTTGGTCGATACTTTGGTATGAAACCATACAAAGAAGCTGAGAAAATAGATGATGAAATCTCAAAAGCAGAGGCTAGACTGAATGGGTTAAAGGAGTGCAAGAAGTTCAGAGACATTGCAAAAGAGTTTAATGGTAAGCCACTTAATGAAGGTCTATGGGGTTATTCTGTCTTTGAAAAGGTGTAATGTGCTTTCTATTTCAACTTTCATCACTCTTCTTGCACAAGTGACGCTGTTGTATCTGTTTCTTCTTTTGTATTTCCATTTGTATCTGGGAGTTTTTTTTGTATTTCTTGCATGATCGTCAATGTAGAGCAACACCTCGTTCTTGTATTTTGGAGTTTCACTTTGTATACCTTGGGTGATTGTCTTACATAGACCAATAGTTCTTTACTCCATTAATAAAACTAAAAGACAATGAACAATTAACTAAAAATGGTGAATAGCGGAAAAAGTCTGGTGCTGAAGTACTCGTCGAATGTGGAGCTCAGTTTTTTCTCTTAATTTCATTCGTAACAGTTGCTAAACATAAGCAACATGTACATGGTAGTTTATGAACGAAAAGAAGTTAAATAAATACCACTAAACATGATTTACATAGGACTGGAAAAATAACTTTAGATGACCATACCAACAGTTACAAATCCAAAATCAATTCTGCTTCAGCACCCCTCCTTTCTTCTCGCATTTGTAACTCCAAGCATGTCTCTGAAATCTTCAATCTTCTGCCTGGGAAAAGCCCTTGTTTAGCATGTCTGCAGCATGATCTTCTGAATCACAATGCTGCAAAACAATTTCTCTATCCCTAACATAATTTCTAATAACATGGTATTTGATCTTGATGTGTTTAGTCCTACCATATTGTATTGGATTTTGATTAATAGCAATTACTGACATGTTATCCACTTAAGCACACAAGGTTCAATCTATTCAAAACCAAGTTCTTCTAGCACCATTCTGAGCCGAACTGCATGATTTGCTGCAATTCAAGCTACTAAATATTCAGCCTCAGCAGTGAACTGAGCTATAACTTCATGCTTCTTAGAATTATAAGAGAAACTCCTTGAACCAAACAAAAAAACATAACCTATTTTTCTTATCATATCCTCCATAGAACCTTCCTTCCTTCATAGAACCTGTCCAATTACTATCTCAATACCCCTGTAACTTTCTTTTTTGATTATTGTCACACCAAAAGCCAATTTCATGGGTTCCTTTGATGTACCTAAGAACTCTATTGGTTGCAAATAAACTAAATAGTTTTTATTGCTAACATTTCAATTTTTTTTATTTATTCATAATTAAAAATCAAAGTAATAATTAGCAATTTTATAACAGTTAAATAAAAATTTTAATTTAAATATGTTAACATCAAACTATTTCTATAAAACAAATAAAAGAAAAGGAAAGAAGAATATCATTAAATCAAATTTCACTTAATATTTAAACATGTAAAATATTGAATCTTATCAAATTATTATCATTATTATTTATGATTTTATTAAATAAACAATTTAAAATCCTAGAAATAAAAACTTAATTTAATTTATTAATTTGATTTATAATTTTAGCTTAAAGGAAATTACTTTAATTTTGTTATTTTATTTTTAAAATTAACTAATTTATATATTTTATTTTATGAAAATATTTTTCTAATATGTTCTTTTGCATTTATCGTGCTTTTTAATAATTAATTTTTATAAAAAAATAAAAATTAATTTTAATTTAATAAATGTATTATTAAAATCATCTAGATGATATTGACTTAGTAAATAATTAATTGTTGAAAATTACATAAATGCGCTCTTAACTTTAACAAAGTCAAAGAAAAAAATTTAATTTAATTTAATTTATTTTATTTTATTTCATCTTATTTTAATAAATGAAATTTTGTTCAAGAATGACATTATTGGTGTTGGTGGCCCTGTAATACCCTAAATTTTTAGTACTCATGTGAAATAAATAAATAAATAAATAATTTGGGTATGAGATGACTAATATAAAAAGGAATTTTAATAAGGGACCAAGTTATCTAACTCTTCAATCTTGGGGGACATTAATAGAAAAAAATTGAGAGAGCGGGGAACACAAATAGATTAAAGGGAAAGGAAAACCTAATTTCCTTTGTAGGGTCTTCTTCTTTTTCTGGTTTTCCTTTCCTCTTCCATTCTAAATTCAAAACCCTTGAACTCGTCAACCTCTTAATCTATCTCTGATGCTGCTTCTTCTCATCAAGATTGCTACTTTCTGTTCTTCTTTCCTTGTCTGTGATTTGAATGCCTAGTGGGCGCTCCTTCTACAACTTTCTGGTAAGAAATCATCTCTATTGCTCATCTTTCCATCCTTAATTTGAATTGGGTTAACCCTAATCCTTTAGGGTTTTCAATTTTGAGATTTTTCTGTAGTTTTCCTCCTTGGTTTTGTCCTAGTGCCACTAGATCTGATTTCTTTTGCTAGAAATTCTAACAACATGACCTTGCAGTAGTATTTTGCCCATAAGTCTTTTTGTGGATATTGGATTGAGTTCATTCTTAATTCTATAGGAAATAAAGAGATAGCCCTACAACTTTTATGTTGAACATTTAACCTAGTTAAGTTGTTTTCATGGTGAAAACTTTGCTACAAGTTTGATTCTCGTAGGCAAACAGAATTGGTAGCCTAACTTAGTATTTTGGCCATAACTTTCTCTGTAGATATCAGATTAAGGTGATTCTTGATCCTATAGAACACTAAGACATAGGCCTACAATTTATCTGTTGACCACTCAGAGCATGTTTGGTGAAGGTTGTAAGTACTTCAGCTTTTTAACACTAATCATGTTTCATAAGTTTAAATTTTCCTCTTAAAAACCCACTTTTTTAACTTCTTTTTAATCTTAAAAAGACCTTAAACAGTGAATTTGAAACGTTTCAAACTTTTGTTTTTCATAAACTTCCTTTTTACTCACTTCTTACTCACTTTTTAATATTTCTAAAAGCAACTTTTAAATTTTCCCTCCAATAAAACTTTAAACTTATAACTCATAAACAGTACCAAGAAAGTAAAAGCTCCAAAAAGCTCCACCAAACAGGGCCTCAACCTAGATTAGTCAATTTCTAGGCATGACTTTTGTTGAAACTTTCGATTCAAAATCTAACCAGAACTTTCCCAGAAATTTGTTCTATTTTCTACCCAATTCCCACATTATTTATTGCCATATTGCATCATGGTTTTACTAGACCTTTAGCTGTTATTTTCTTGCTTTAAAACCCCTTGTTATTACTTTATTTTGGCTGCCTTTTAGCTATTGCTTTTTTGCTTAAGTGTTGTCCATTTCAGCCCAATTTTGGCTTGTAATCTACCCTGTTTTGTTGCTGTCTTTGTGCCCAAAAAATTCTTGCTATTCAGCGCTTTGTCCAAGCATTTTGGGACTGTTTTAAATAGTAAAAATCCCCACCTTACTGCCCAGCTTTTGTGCTGCTACTTTGGGGTAGTTTTGAGCTTGGTTTCTCATATTTTTTCACTTTGTTTTGTCCAGCAAATATGCCTAGTAAACCTGCCATATGTAGGGTCTTTTGGTGCTATTTTAGGCATCTTTTAAGTATGATTATGCATGGGAATATATATACATATATTAATAGAGTTTCAATGGGTAGAAGCAATGTTTTAAGACTCGACTTTGCCTGGTCAATCAAACCGGTTCAACTGGACCCGAGCTTAAAAATGGGCTAGTTACATGCCTTGACTCATTTTGAGAATTAGCCCGCACAAAGCGGCTTGACCTGTTCAACTTGCTCCGTCCACCCAACTCGTTCCACTCACTGGGCAGAATCTGTCGTCGCTATATTTCTTCGGGTGCGCATTCCTTTCCTCCATCTGCCTCATTGACAAGCAGTGCAAGCTCTAAGGGATCGATTTCGCAACAATCAACCTTCTGAACGCACTTTGCTTCTTCGCCTTTGTTAGCTGCTCATTCATAGCAAAAACCAATCAACATTATTTCACGAAACCGATCCAATGATGAGAAATGCGGGTACCAAACTAGAAAGGTATCTTCGACTGTAGAACCTCCGTCACCGATCAACATCCTTCCGCGAAGCCAATCCAATGGTGAGAAACTCTCTCATGAACCTCTATCCTTCTTCCTCTGATTTTTTTTTTGTTCCTCCCTTTCAACCAGGTTTATATGGCAATTCGATGATGATGATTATGAATGTTGAGCTGAATGTAGATCTCAAAATTGAAACTTGAAAAAGAATTGGGACCAGGGAAAGAAGCTTAAAGGAAAAATCAAGGAAATTATTTTTTTAAAAAAAGTCAGGAAATCGGAAGGAGATCTAAAAGAAGTTTGGCAAAGATGATGGTGAGATGGAAGTGTTTGGGGCTGGGAGAGGTTGACGGTTAAAGAAGAAAGTAAAATCTAATAAATATGTTTAAAAAAAA